CTGTGCTGGCAGCAGGGAGTTGGGGCCACCTCCTTCTGCCGTGAGCGAGGGGGAGTTTGAGGAGATCATGAACCGCAACCGAGCCATCTCCAGCAGCGCCATCTCCAAGGCGGTGTCCGGCGCCAGCGCAGGTACCACTCCCATTCCCTTGTGTCCTTCCCCGTATCCCTCTGTCCCCCCCAAATCCCATCCCGAGGTGGATCCCCACCCCTGAGCCCCTCACCGTCTCCCTCAGGTGACTACAGCGACGCCATTGAGACGCTGCTCACGGCCATCGCTGTCATCAAGCAGTCGCGCGTCGCCAGCGACGAGCGGTGCCGCGTCCTCCTCTCCTCCCTCAAGGATTGTCTCCACGGCATTGAGGCCAAATACTACAGCTCCAACAGCAGGACCAGCCAGCAGCAGCTCCAGGTATCCACATGGATCTAGGGTGCTGCCCCCACCCAACGGGATCCTCCCTGTGTGGGACTGAGTGGGGTTTTATCCCTCTTTGCCCAAGGAAAAGACACCGATCCCGGGAGCGCTCTCCCAGTCGGTCCCGTGAGAGCAGCCGGAGGCACCGGGATGTGCTCCACAGTGAGGATCGGCACGAGGATTACTTCCAGGAGCGGAACAGGGAGCACGAGCGGCATCGGGACAGGGACAGAGAGAGGGACAGGCACCACTGAGACAGGTGTGGGGCTCAGGGGGCCCCAGGGAGGCCTGGGGGAAGGCTGACGAGCGCTGCCCCAACCTCCCTCTTTCCCCACAGGAATTTGGCAGGAAGTGGTTTTTAATGGACTCTATCTCCTCACCTCGACCAGGACGATGTGCCCGAGGCTGCTCCACCCCATCCCGGCCCTTTCCCACCACCCCCAGCCCTCTCAGGGCGCCCAAGGAACGCCCCGGGGGGAATTCCCACCTGTACCTCGTGGCCTTGGGATTCCCTTCCCACCGCTGCTGCTGCTTCCCGGAGCCATCCCACTCCGCTCCATGGACACTCGGACCCAAAGAGAAATGGTGCTTTTATTCCATGGAGGGAGGTTTGTGAGCCCTTCCCAATCCAGGGGGGAATGGAGGTGCATGGCTCCCAGTCCCGGGATGGGATCTGTGCCATCCTCTGGCGCTGCCTGGGGACACTCCTGTCCCCCCTCACCCTCTGGCTCTGCCCAGGAGCTGGGAAAAGCAGGGCTGGGGGTCACCTCCCCCTCTATCCCGACATTCCCCACAGCAGCATTCCCACCCAAAGGGCAGCTCCGGCCTCTCCTGCAGCGCATTCCTTGTTTTAGAGGAAGCGGAGGAGGCAGGAAGGCTGTGACCCCCTGGCAGGAGAGGGAGAGTCCAGGAGGGTCGGGATGAGCTGGGACACACCACAGGTGACTTCCAGGGCTGGAATCACCCCTGGAACTGTTGCCAGGCAGAAAAATCCTGGCTCTGGGTGTCTTTTTAAGTTGAAATCCCACAAAAGCAGGAAAATCCACCCCAATTTATCTCACGAGGTGGGAGCGCTCAGCGGGAGAGGTCTGGGTTGTTTTTTTACTTCATGCCACAGATTTTTAGTTTCTTTCCAAATAGTGGAGGGGGAAAAATTCCCAAAAGGTGGCAGAGCAATTCCCTGTAAGCCCTGGGGTGAGGCCCTGCCCCTCCTGCTCACAGTGATTAGATTTGTCTTTCAATAGGTTGGAAATTGTGTAATAAACTCGATGACGTTGTCAATCTTTTATACAGTGCTCCAAGGGCCTCCTGTGGTATTCCTGAGGGTGAGATTTGGGATAAGGAGGGGTGAGAGGGATTTAGACTGGGTTTAGTGCCTCTGAGGGGCTCCTGTCCTCCCCACACCAGCTTGGAGCACCCGAATTGATGCTCAGGTGAAGCTAAGCACCAGGTAAAAATAAATATTTATTGGAAAATAGGGAATTCTTCCAAAAGGATGTAGAAAAAAAATAAGGATTCCTCATACCTTGAGCTGGCACAAGCTCGGAGGGATGTGTCCAGGTGAACTGGGAAGTGGGAACAGTGGGAGGGATGTGTCCAGGTGGCTGCAGGTGACGTTGGAAGTGGGAAAGGTGGAAGGGATGTGTCCAGGTGAAGTGGAAAGGTGGGAAGGATGTGTCCAGGTGGCAACAGGTGAGGTGGGAAGCAGGAAAGATGGGAGAGATGTGTCCAGGTAGATGCAGGAAAGGTGGGAGGGATGTGCCCAGGTGAAGTGGGAAGCAGGAAGGGTGGGAGGGATGTGCCCAGGTGGCTGCAGATGAACTGGGAAGCGGGAAAGGTGGGAGGGATGTGTCCAGCTGGGAGCAGGAAAGGTGGGAGGGATGAGTCTGTGTGGGAAGCAGGAAAGATGGGGAGGATATGTCCAGGTGGCTGCAGGTGAAGTGGGAAAGGTGGGATGGATGAGTCCAGGTGGGAGCAGGTGAGGTGGGAAGCAGGAAAAGTGGGATCCTCCCCTTTCCCAGGGCTGGCAAGTAGCTCTGGCACCAGTGACACTGTGCCCCTCTGGGCTGTGTCCTTTGGCACATGGCCTCAGTAGGAATCCACACTGTGGAGAAGGGAAAACAGGGATGTGTTGGCACCAAACCCACCTGGTATCTCCCGCCTTGGCTCACCCATCCCCTGGGATGCAGCACCTGGAGAAGGAGAGCAGCGCCAGGACCCCCAGGAGCAGCTCCAGGCCATAGAAGAGGAGCAGGATGGCGCTGAGGAATGCTTCCAGGCGCAGGGAATAGGTCTGGAGCAGCAGGTAATAGGCTGCCAGCACAGCTGCTGGCACTGTGAGGGCCAGGCTGATGGATAGTGGCACCCTCCGCTGGCACAGGTTCCCCTTGGAGCCTGGGAGACACAGGGTTGGCATCACGGAATGGTTTGGGTTGGATGGGACTAAAAGATCCAGTTCCATCCCCCTGCCATAGGCTGGGAATCTTCCACAGGATCAGGTGGCTCCAAGCACCATCCAACTTGGCCTGGACCACTTCCAAGGAAGGATTTTGGGGGTCTCCCAGGATTTTGCAGTGGAGAGACACTAAATTCTGGGCTAGACAAGCATATCCATGGGTTGTCCATAAAATCATGGAATGGTTTGGGTTGGAAAGGACTTAAAGATTCAGTCCCACCCTTTGGCATGGGCAGGGACACCTTTCACTAGCCCAGATTGCTCCAAGCCACATCCAACCTGGCCTGGAACACTTCCAGGGGTGGATTTAGGGGTGTCCCAGCATGCTGCCTCCCTGGAATTCGAGGAGGGGCACTGCCCCCAGGACTCACCAAAGAAGATCCGCGTGGCCTCAGTGCCAAGGTAGAGGAAGAGCAGCACCACATCCAGCACCAGATTGGAGACAGGATAGGGCAGGAGCAGCACTGCGGGCACAGCACCGCTGCCCTCAGCATCCTCAGGGGCACTCCAGGGCAGCCCTGGGGGGAGGTCGCGGCCGGGGCGGGGGATGCTCACCCTT